GGAAAGAGAGCAGGCAGAGGGCCAGGGCCCTGCACTGTAGCCATGCTGGCGTACAACACCAGCACGTGCACTTGCAGTTGGTAAGAGCTTGTTGTGTTGTAATTAGTGACCGTGCATCTTGCACCAGGGCTGATTACTTCTCCTAAATACATTGTGAAGCCCACGTCGACATTAATTACTGTGCTGGGTCAGCAGCGAGGGGAAGCTAAGGTCACCCCCCTCCTTTCTCTAATCAAGAGCAGCCTCGGCAGCCCAGCAAACGAGAAGCCAATTGCTGTGCAATTGCATGCACTAAATTAAACAGAGGTGGGGAGGCCGGGAGAGGACAGGGAGGATGCCAAGGATGGGTTCTGCATGGGGAAACAAAGCCAAGCAAGCAGGCGATGTCGGACAAGCCTGCTAGAAACGAGCAGCCGGTCAGGCATCAAACAAACTCAATTGAATAAAGCAAGTGCTGTAGAAAATGACAGCAGCGATGATATTAATATAAATATTGATATTAATGTCAGAGGATGCAGTAACCATTGGGCAGCCGGTCTGCATTCGTGTCTGCTGCCACGTGGCGAGATGCTCAACGCCGCACCAGGCCGGGCCAGTGTCTGACCAAAGCATCTCTCCAGCCCTATGCCTGGGGCACCAGACAGAACCACACCTCCATCTCCTTCAGCACGGGGTGGTCTTCTATCCCTGGGAAGAGAACCCGCATGGCGTAGGTGCGGTAATCCAGAAAGGGGATGCCAGCCCCATCCAGGTCATTGGTCAGCTCGTTAATGTCAGTCTGCAGCTCAGCAAAGGCTGGGGTGGAAAAAGCAGAATTAAGCAACACATCCCGGAGTCCCAGCACACAGCATCAGCACCCAGCCTCCACTGCAACCCCTGGCACCCTATGGGTGGGACCCCCTAGGCCACTGCACCCCCTGGCACCCTATGGGTGGGACCCCCTAGGCATGAATCAGCTCCACATCCCTCCCACTGGCAGGCTGTGATCACTGTCCCCATCTCACAGATGAACAAAACCAGAGCTTCTGGGGGAAAATGTTAGTCTAAACCACAAGAATGTCCTCATTTCTTTTTGACCTAAATACTACTTGAGAGAAGAGCTTGAACACACCCACCCCAGCACCTCCCGATCAGAGCAGAGGCAGCTGCGACTCCCAGGGGAACGCGATGCGGGGGGGAGGTCCTGAACCTTTAATTGCACCTACAGGGAAAAACTGACGGGAGAGGAGTCCTGGATATGCACCAGGAAAG